CCAACGCCGGTTGGGAACGTATGGCACCGAACAGATCCCACTCGTGGTCGGCACCGGACACCACTTCGGTGAGCGATTCCGCGTGAATAAACTGCATTTTCTGAACACCTGTGCCGGCGAACGCCTGGTTATGTATACGCTTAACATTTCTACCAAAAATGCTGATTAGTTCGAATTGTATGCCAGCAAACGCCTGAGCCGGTAGGTCCTCCTCGGTCAAATCATCCAACGCTATGGATATGAATTTTTTCTTATCCGCCGGCAGTTTAACGCTTAAGTCACCTAATATTTTGGTAATATTTGCGTTGTTTTTGCATTCAATGTAACACCATTCTCCGGCACGTTGAGGTGGTATATATGAGCATGGTGTGCTAATAGGGTAGTTATCGGGACAGTCTACCCAAGGACCATCATCGGCATTGACCATGGTGACAATTGTCACTAATAATACTGTTTTTAAAAATTAATAAATAGAATATTTTTAATTGCAAATTAAACTATAGATATTTAAATAATACTTACGTTTGTAATTCATATTTGAATTTTGTAGGTATACTTAACTTTATAATAAATTATATTTTAAAAAATAATTACGCTTATATACTACAACTGTAATAAACTCTTAATATTATACACAATAAAATATAAAATAAGACATATTAAATTGTATCGGCAGGTCCGTATTTGTTTTCTTTGATAATTGAACATAATGTTTTATTGATTATGAACAGGTACTATTGATATAACCAAGCTATTTTCATCTATAACCACAATCTATTTGGTAAACCTGTTGAATATTGACTATTGACTAAACTTCAGTGATATTTTTATTAACTATATTATGTTTGTTATATACATAAGGATCTATGCAATACTTTTAATCTTAGTAAATATGTTATTAACTTCAAAACAGGATTAAATTATTTCACAAAGATTATTCATGACTGAAATAGTTAGGCGTTGTTCACAAAGTACGTGCGCACTTGGGGGAGAAGGGTGTCGGCCAAAGCAAACTTTTGCGAACAATGAGGAGGGAGGTATAGATACTTTATAAAGGTTTGCATTTAAATCATTTGATAAATTCATTTGAAAAATTCCCATCTCTAAAGCCAATATTAAATAATTGTTATCTTTTTGTTATATAATTGTTATTAAAATGTACTATATTAATATTTATTGATCAATATTAATATTAATATATTTATTACATTTTTATATATGAATAATTACGGTAAAAAGATAAAAACGGTAAAATTTTTCAAAATAAAATAATTGGATCATATTTGTTGTTATTTTAGTATAACTATTACAATTAACTAAAGCATTGATTTAATTCCATTTATTAAGCAAAACCATATAACTCATAAGGTTTATCAAAATTTGAGCAGGGTCAATTGTAACAAGCTGTAAATCTATTTGATGGATATCGAAGGCATATGTGGCACAAAACCAGAGTAATTAGTAGTAAATTCATCCTGGGTCATGTCGGTAAATTGATTGACACCCAACCAATAGGTGTGTTTACCCTCATCGGCCTCTTTGTTATGCTTACGGATGGCCCGGTAGTTGTCGACAAAAATTGCCCGCCTTTTAACCTCGTCGTAATTTTTCATTACCTTCAGCGTTTGGTTTGTCCGAAATTTGCGCTTTAAATATATGAACAAGGTTAATTTTTGATAATTATTTATTTTTATTAGATTTATAATACGTGACTGACCTTAAAGTTTTGCCACTCCCTTTCAATCTCGTCGGGTGTTATATCTAGTAATGTTTCTGGTATTGTATACATTATTAAAGTTATATAAAGTTCTCCTAAAGTTCTAGAGTAAAAATATGCAATAAATAAAACTTACTTAATTTTAAACAACTATCTTTATATAATTATTAGCTGATGAGTCACTTATAATCTATATTTGCTTTAATATATACAATTTGTTATCATTTAAGATATATTATAATATTTTTCATTTAATAAACAATTTATGTAATTTATTAAAAATATAAATATTTATTCTTAAAACTACGCATTAATTAAATCAATTAGTTATAAAACTTTTAAAACTTAACATTCATTAACAAATACTATGAAAACATTTCCGCTTTATTAATAATTAAT